TAATCCAGCACAGCAGCTTGATGTAGCTCTGTGCAACTTACATGGAGACTTTTAGGTGTATTTTCTTCTCTCATCCTTTTGCAACTTAACTTTTACGTGTATTTTCTGCCCCTCTCTCCCCCCTCCCCAAAATACCCAAGAAAGCAAATCCCCCACTTCAGCTGAAAATCTTCCATTGCGAGCTTGAGAAGTCTGTATTTTTTTTTGCCCTTCTGTAGTTATATGAGTGTTCCATTTCACACATTTCATGATACACTTTGGTATTGCTTAAAGGGGAAATCTCTAGATTTAATTAAATAGTGTTCAGAGCCTTCTTGCTTTTGATGGAGATTATCTCCCCCAGAATAAAAACTCAGGCCTGTGAACTGAGCTGGTAATGTCTGTTAAGTTTACTAGAATGAAGTGTGTTTTTTTTTTTTTTTGGTAGAGCAGCTAAGTGAATAAATTGGGCTCAATGTGCAGAGCAGTCATCAAATATGCTAAGGAATGAGTGGACGGGGTAGAAACTATAGAGTAAAAGATGATATAGCAAATTGCAGGGCAGTGCATTCTGCTAGGGGGCACTTGTTGCAGTAACATGCAGTAAAATTTGAACTGGGTTAAAGTTGTAGTAGAAAATAACAGCTCTTTTTTGTGATGTCCCAGGTTTTCAGGAAGCAGTTCTTTATCAGAGCGCTGCGTCAGGAAGGCGACGCTGGCTCTGCTCTGCTGCTGCCCCGAGAAGTGGCACATCTGGGGAGAAGGGCTCCCCGGTGCTCCCGCTGTGCCCGTGTAATTGTGCCACGAGCTGGGGACGGCCTCTTTGCGAGCGGGGGGGGCCGTAGTGTAACCAGGGCAGTCGGTTTTACTGGCCTAGATGCTTGTGCTTGTGTCACTCTGCTCCTTGTGCACAAACAAGCTCTACTGACAGGACTGTAAGAGATGTTTGTAGCGCTTCTTTAGTCTTGCCTGTGCTCTGTAACAGAAAGCAGAGAAACGAGTTCTTTTAACATCAATTTTCTCTGCTTTGGGTTTTTATGAGCCTTTTGGGTGCCTTTACCAAGCTCTGTTCAAAGTCCTTTAGTTTAACAAAGCATGTAAAGTTCTTTTCATGGTTTTGGGGTAAAATGAACCGAAAACGGGCTGTGCCATTGATGTTTCTTAACTCGAGTTGCAGTCCTTCAGATTGTGAAGGAGTCCCAGCAGCAGCATGGCTTGCGGCACGGTGACTTCCAGCGGTACAGGTCAGTGAGCCGCGGCGGTGCGCGGAGCTCCTCTGCTGTGCGACCCGGCGGGCACCAACTCACTCAAGACATAAACCCACAGGCAGCAGAACCTCTCTGTCAAATAAATTTGTTGTGACAAATTGCTTCTTATGGAGTAATGCATGTTTTTTCTCCTTATTGGACAAAATGTGCTGTGACTGGTTTAGGAAGATTGAAAAATAGCTCGTTTCTCTATTGTTTGTTAACACCGTACTGTAATCACTGTTTTCTTCCAGAATTATTTTTTCAGTAAACACACGTAAGGCAATTGGGCCATAAGGAGAATATCACTGGTGGGGTTTTTTTCTTGTGTGTGTGTGTGCTTTTTTTTTTTTTTTCCCCCCCTCATATCCCATATATGGAGTTTTTAGTTGTTAAATGTTGTATGTCACCGCTTCTAGTGCTTATCTTTTTCTGGTTGCAGAGAATAGTATAGAGAAGTAAAATTGTTCTTTGGCCAAACTGACTGTCACCTTTCTTTTCCCTAGGGGTTATTGCTCCCGCAGGCTAAGGCGGCTCCGAAAAACTCTCAACTTCAAGATGGGAAACAGGCATAAGTTCACTGGGAAGAAAGTAACAGAAGAGATTCTTTCAGACAACAGGTACTGCCACTAAATAGAATCAAGCATTTAATAGGTTCATGAATTGCTGTTTTCTTTTCTGTAGTTTTTTTCCATGTGGGCATCCGGGGAATACTTTTGTGTACAATGTACTCGTAAATGTTTCTCTCCAGAGATGTGTGTTGTTGGTATTAATAAAAGATCAAAGTTCTGGCTGCAGTATTAGGAGAAGAGGGACTACTGAGGTCCTGCTTTATTGTTTGAATGAGTGGGAGAAGAGGGAGCAGCAGCCTGTTTCCTCTTCCACTTATCGTGGCTATTAAAGTGGCTCTTGTCATAATCAGCAAAGATTAGTTCGTTAATACAGAAAGGAAATGCTTATTCAGACCTGCTGCAAGGTAGCCAGCTGATAGCTGAGGTGCTGTAACCAGCAAGAATGAGATCAGAGATGTAATCTGTTTGTTAACAAAAATACTGGGTTACAAGTTTTAGTTAGTTCTTCAGCATTTGGCAGAATGCTTGTCTGCTGGAGCGCACGGAGCGTAGGCTGAGTCCCAGGCTTCTTTCCTAGCTTTTAGAAACATGTGTCTGCAATTTCATATTCTTTCCTTGTGGGGAGGAGGGGAAAAAAAAAAAAAGCGATTCTGTCTTCCCCTGTATTATTAAAAAGTTAGATGCATTATGGCATTAACTGTGAGGAAAACAGACTTGTTTACCTATACCAGCTAGTTGGGAACTAAAATCTGTGTCTTTGAAAGTTTTCTGATGTTGCAGAGTGAAATTGAAGTGTCTTTGACATTTGAGTAGTTACATAATACAGCCTTAGGTGCTTGTAACATGTCAACGTTACCATATCAGTGCTAACATTAAGAGCATCTTTGTCTATATCTACATCTTTGGCATCTACAAAGCTGACGTTTTGTTACCAAACACTTTGTATCACGTGGTACGGAACTAAAAGGGATGTGGAAGTCGTTTTTTGAGCATCAGCGTATCTCGGTGACCTTCCTGTGCCCTGCAGGTATTTGCTGTTGATTCTGATGGATGCAGAGAGAGCCTGGAGTTATGCCATGCAGCTTAAGCAGGAAGCCAACACGGAGCCACGCAAACGGTTTCACCTGCTGTCCCGCCTGCGCAAAGCGGTGAAACACGCCGAGGAGCTGGAGCGCCTGTGCGAGAGCAACCGGGTGGATGCCAAAACAAAGCTGGAAGCTCAGGTACCCTCTCCTGTTTGGACCTTCCTTTGCAGCAAGAACTGAATGAGAAACCTTGGGATTTTAGGTGAACACGTAATTCTCACCTAGCTGTAGGTGATTAAATTGGCTGATTCTTGGCCTGGCTCATGACGTTCTCTGCGTAGTTTGGGTTCATTGTTGGTGCTGCTGGAATTGCAAAAGTAACCAGTGGCCCAAACCAAGATTAAGACCTGGCAGCTAGAATTTGTTTAAGCTGTCAAGTGACCATTCTTTTTTAAAAAAGCAATAGGCTTTGTTAAAGTGAAAAGAATTAGAATATTGCAAAATAATGCGACACAGCCTAAAAAACTATGCTCATCTATGAAGAACAGCTGTTTTACTCGTTTAATATGCTGATATAGCTAATTAGAACACAAAGTTTGTGACAGAAAACAGTTTTGTTTTGACACCTCTGTGAACAGAGACTACAGTGTTAATGGAAGAATAAAACTTTCATTTTGTAATTCCTTGTTGACAGGGAGAGGGAAAAAAAGCTTCTTGCTATCAGTGGACTGAACTGTTGGTTTCTTCTCATTGGAAATGTAGAAATGTCACTTAGAATAGTGAGCTAAAGCCAAATTGTTTTCAGTGAGCAGTCCAGACAGAAAGGTCGAGTTTAATCATGTCCCCTGGACTCCAGAGCAGTTTTCATGGAAAAGTTAGGCAGTCGGTCCTGCAGTGATGAACGCGTTTGCCCTTGCTGTGTGTGCAGGCATACATGGCTTACCTCACAGGAATGCTTCGTTTTGAACACCAGGAGTGGAAGGCAGCCATGGAGGCTTTCAACAAGTGCAAGTGAGTACCCTCACGCTACCTTCATTTAGCAAAGAGAACTAGATCAGTCTAATGAATATTATGTACTGTGTACATCATAACTCTGGAAGCTGCTTGGTTAACTGTGCTGAATGGGCAGCATTACTGAAGAAATCCATTCCTCACACAATACAGACAGAACCTCTTCCTTTAAAACCACACGTACTGCAGGATTCTTCTGTATCCTTTGCTGCAGGACCATATATGAGAAACTGGCCAATGCTTTCACAGAGGAACAAGCTGTGCTGTATAACCAGCGTGTGGAAGAGATCTCTCCCAACATTCGCTACTGTGCTTACAATATTGGTAAGGGGAGTACTTCAGCTCCAGAAAAAAAGCCATGTTTGCTTATAGGAAAAGAATATCGACTTGATGATTAAATACTGGTGTGAAGTGATGTTGGAGCGAGTCTTTAGTGGTACTTTGGGTAAATACGACATATTTTATATCAGTTTAGCAGTGAAGAAAGTACACTGTGCAACACTGCATGTGTGTTTTTGTGTAAAATGACTAAATATCTGTTTGTGATTACTGTGCTTGTAAATTCAGAAAGGAATTGCAGTTTCATGCCACTTGCCCCCAGATGTCTAGTACATAAAATCTAGTCGATAGATTTCTATATCAAAGTGATTATTGAATTTAGGTAGAAATGGAATTTTGATTTGTTAATTTTTTTCAGGTGATCAGTCTGCTATCAGTGAACTGATGCAGATGAGGCTGAGGTCTGGTGGCACAGAAGGTCTTCTTGCAGAGAAACTGGAGGTAACTTATTGAATGTTTCAGTTTGAAGCATGCAAATATTATTTCCGTGAGCATAAATGCTACTGCAACGTGGCATTCAGGAGACCAATACCTATCAGAAAAGAGTGAGTCCTTGCTCTATGCAAAACCACACTTCCAGAAAAAGCTCTTTGATTCCCATCCCCCCCACCAAAAAAAAAAAAAAAGTCAAATCTAATGTGAGCTTAAAAGGTCTGGTTTGGAAACCTTTAATTTCAGGCTCATCATGTCAGTTCCTTGTCTGCAGGCGCTGATTACCCAAACTCGAGCAAAGCAGGCAGCTACCATGAGCGAGGTGGAGTGGAGGGGCAGAACTGTCCCTGTGAAGATAGACAAAGTGAGGATCTTCTTACTGGGGCTGGCTGACAACGAAGCAGCCATCGTCCAGGTAACCTGGGAACAGTCTCCAGTGCTCTAATAATCCTGTTGCTTTTGGTGTGTGGATAAATGCACAATAGCAGACCAAGTGGTTTTAAATAATCTTTCTCAAACTTGGTGTCCAAAGGCTGGAAGGAGAAGTGGGAATATTGTCTGTAACCCAGAGCTTGAGTGGCACTTAGGGTTTGCTCCCACAGTTTACCAACAAGTGTTAATTTGAGATGTGCTCTGCTAAACCACTGGGTATTTTTGCTCCTTTGAACACCCTGTTCTACCCAAAAGTGCCAAGCTTCAGTGGCAGAGTGATAGTTGTTATTATTTCTAATTTTCACTTCAAAATGATTAACAATTTGAAGATTAACTGCTTTTGAATGACTTTTGTATCCTGTTTTTGCATCCTTAAGTATCTCACCCAAGCGTTTCAACTTCAGAGCAACCAAAAGAAGATCTCTATTGCTTACGTTTCTTTCTGCAGTGGAAAGCAGTTTTGCCAGACAGAGCAGCTGCTGTGAGCTTTGTAGCATTCTTCTGTTGACTTATGCAAAACTTCAAAAGCAGGAAGATGATTGCTAAACGTCAGGAGCTAAATTCATCTCAAGTGTAACGGACAGTTCCGAAATGCTTGCAGTGGGCACCCACAACACGTGTAATGGAATTGTGTTGCAGCCGGGGTTTTCATATGGCACTTTTGCCTTGGGAATGGAGTGCACACAGTGCCTTCTCCTTCCCAGTGGCTGTGTACAGAGCCTTTGCTGTTTGAAAAAGGCAGCTGAAGGATCTTTATTAACTATTGGTGCCACTAAAGGCGGGCCCTTTGCAGCTTCAAAAACTGTTTATCACCTGGAAAAAGCTAAATAACAATAAATATCAATTTAAATGATACCATTTATCTTCATAGGATTATAATATTAAGTGAACAAGAGCTGAAATAGTGTTAAGTAAGTTAACCTAAGTAAGATGTGTCTGGGTGGAAACATTAATGATACCAGCCTGACCAGAAATGTTAGGTTACCTTTTTTGTTGTTGTTTTATTTCTTTAAATAAAGAGTGATGTAGGTAGTATGACAGTATGGCCAGCAGGTGGAAGTGCAGCTTAGAGTTCAGTGTTCCCTCATTTCATTTCTTTCCTATGAGGCTAATGCTTGGGCTTTTCAGTTTAGTTGCCCTCCTTGTTCCACAAAGCAGTGGCAGGAATACAATCTGGATTTGTTTCCATCTTGCTTTGTGCTCCTAGAAGCCCTGATTCAATGGAGAGAATTTGTGTGACACTAGCTCCTAACCAGTAGTGATGAGACTGAGCATCGAAGCAGCAGTATGATGCACAAATCCATATTTTCAATTACTTATGTGAACCCCCTGGAAGGCTTAAATTTAGAATGTGACTTGAGGGGCCGCATTGACTTTAGCCAGGTAAAAGTGAGAAGGTTAAAGTGCTCCTATTTGATATCCCCTTGAGGATTCTGTGATCTGCAGTAATTAGGACTGCACCAAAACTGAGTAATAACTTTCTGAAATGATACAGTGTTCCAAAACAAAGGAAAAAAAATGGGCTATGTTTTGATCTGAGGTTCCTTGGTAGCTCTAAGAGCAAACCTGAACTATTCTCTCAGTACACTTTATCACTGACTGTAGCTCTTGTATTTCAGTTTTATGATCTGGTATCAGCCAAATCAGAACACATACATATTTACGCCCAGAGAATCAGTTTAACCTTAGGAGTTCTTGGCTAGAAAGGAAAGCCTTTGTTTTATTGCGTGGCCCAGCCCTTTCTCTGTTTGTGCTTGACTGATGATCTAGTTATGTCTGTTTTCATTTTTGTGCATACAGTGAAATTGCTGTGCTCCTCTGGGTGAGGCTGAGAATGTTGCCAGACTCGTCTCTGGTTATTCTCAGTAGTTAGTCCCACCTTAAAAATATGTGCAACAAATTAAAAAAACAAAAAAACAAAAACACTTTCATCTTGGATCAAGATACCTAGGGCTCTATGAGGGAGTAAAAATAACATTCCTTAATAAAAAAGAAAAAGGAGAGGCTTTGTAGGGTAATGCTCAGCAGCTTTTTACAGACGTTCCAAATCCTAGAGGAAGAGATTGCAGAGCTCTAGTTTTCTACATTTTTTCACTGGTCTGGGAAATGGCAAGTTAGTTGCAGCAAATGTTTATCCCATGTTGTTATAAGATATGGAAGTCAAATGACACAAGGCTAATGTGTTTAATTCTTTCCAGATTAACTCCTTCTCCATTTGGTAATGTTGGGATTTGTTTCTGGGCAAATTTCTCTTGCAGAATTAGTAAGAATATTATGATCCCTGCCTGGTTATCTTCTCACTCAGCTGAATTGAAAGTGGAGTTTGATTTTGGGTGAATTGTTTAATTAGGTACATGATAGACCAGTCCATTAGGCAAAGAGCAGGCTTCAACTTGTTTTTAAAAGGTATTTTCAAACTCTGCTATGGGGGCAGAAGGCCAAAAATTGCTTAATTTTTTGACGAAACTTGTCGTGACAGCAGAAGCTGCTCAGTAACTCCTGCTACTGAAATGCAGATTTACTTGAAAAAAAAAATAATAAAAAGTGCCTAGGACAGGCAAATTGTTAAAAAAAATAAAATAAAAATAAAAAAGTGCCTAGGACAGGCAAATTTTTGCCACTGTGAGCATTACTAGAGTGGGAGTGTAGAACAGATAATCATCTAGATGTTCTTACCACACTAGAAATGCCATCACAGGAGCAGGTTGCATTGGTAGTTTACCAGGTCAATAACGCTCAGCTCTTCCTCTGCTGTGGCCTTCCCACAGTGTGATCCAACCTCAGGTGTTCTCTAAGCAACGTGGGTGCCATCCTGGAAGGGAAAGGAGTCACTAAGAAGGTGACGGGGGGTATCAATGACATGAGCTGCCTGGATGAGGCCCTCAGTGCTGCTGTAGTCTCTGTGCTGAGCAGATTTCCCTGCCATTTCTGACAATTTGCCCCCTAGAATGTATGGCAAAAAGGTTCAGGTTGGAGTTCTACTTACCTACAGACCTTAAGGCAGTACACCAAATTTCTCTCCAATTAATCTCCTGTGTTAATTCTTGCATCGTGGGATGTGAAATGCAAAAATGTGAGAGGTGTTTTTGACTTTCCTTTGCTCCTAGGCAGAAAACGAGGAAACGAAGGAACGTTTGTTTGAATCTCTGCTCAGCGAGTGTAGGGATGCCATTCAGGCTGTTCGGGAAGATCTGAAACCAGACCAGGTGAGTATCAAGTGTCAGTGTTTCTACTTTCAATAGCACAGTGGCTTTTTGGGACTGCTTTTTGTTGTTGTTAAGCTTGGTTAACAGTAGAAATGGCTTTGGGGTTTTCTTTATTAAAAATCTCCAGGAGTTGATCATCTCTACTTGATTCTCTCCAGAACTGGAATGGGTGAATAACTATGTAGAAACCCTCACCCTTTTACTGAGAATCCTGATCCTGGCTTTATTCAGACTTGGTGTTTTCTGATGTTTTCTTCCCTCAGCTGCTAGTCTAAGTAAATTATGTGCTATTTTGTCCAATTTTTGCAGAAGCAACGGGAGCACTCTCTGGAAATGGATTCTGGGAAGGTGTCCAACATTCAGTACTTACACAGGTAATAAGCAAACACAGCTGCCTTTACTCGTGCAAAGAAGTTATGCTCTTCTGAGAGGTTCAGTCACCTTACACTGTGTAGATCTTTTCTGTGTGTGTTTCTGTGCTGGGCCTCTCAGCTCTCAAAGAACAGCTGCACAGATAAGGATCTGATTCATGCAGCTTAAAAACATTTTACTTAAGACTCTTATGTTGGTTTTTCAGATTTTTTTTTCCTGTAATAATGTCAGCTTGGCCAGAAGGGAGGGCTCTGTCAGAGCAAAGAGTAATATCTGAGTAGTTCTGACAGTCCGTTAATGGTATCTTTTTAGTTACTTGACTTATATCAAGCTGTCGACCGCCATCAAGCGCAATGAGAGCATGGCAAAGTCTCTGCAGAAGGCCCTGCTGCAGCAGCAGCGCTCAGAGGAGGATGGCAAGCGCACGCCGCGGCCTCAGGACCTCATTCGTCTCTATGATATCATCCTGCAGGTAATGCCAGGGGAAGCAAGTCTAGTTGTTTCTGGCTGGGAAACTTGAGTATGAAAAGGTATCCGATAAAATACCGCAGGTGAATGGAACGTGAGTTTGGAAGAGCAGCCTGGTAGCTACAGGAGCCTTGTGGAAGGTGTTTGACATCTACGTAGAGCATGAGAGAATGTGTTTAGTTGTGAGCAGAAGATACTGCTAGGGCTAGTAACCTTGATTTTATACTGTGCCATGTTTTTTTTCCTGACCATTCTCTGCAGCATCCTAGTAGCTGCCATGATTTCTCCTGGCCAATGAGAATGGCAGCTAAAAGTACTTAAAATTAGTTCTTTATAAGCAGTTTCTCCATTTCTCACATAAATGTTGAATTAACTGTGGGAGCTGTGGCTGGAGCGGTTGTAAATGGGAAGGAATTAATTCATGAAGGAATTAATTCATACGAAATCCAAGGAGTCTTTGTCCTATTGGCTGTTTGTCAGGAAGTCTGGCCTGGGGTCAATCTTGTACAAGTTTCCATGAGTGTCCTTCAGAAGGTTAGCGTACTGACAACTAGCAAACAGGCAACTGCTTCCATGAGAGTCTGCTATTGACTGTTAAGAGGGGCAGCTTTCTCTTATTTCATCAGATTCCAGAGGAAAGCAGAGCTTGCCTGAATTCATTGTTTTGACTCTTTTGCACAGAACCTTGTGGAACTGACACAGCTTCCTGGCCTAGAAGAGGACAAGAACTTCCAAAAAGAGATTGGACTGAAGACACTGGTATACAAAGCTTACAGGTGACTGAGAACAGCCAGGTTGTGCTTAGCAGACATTAAGTCTTCAAAGGTTATTAGCCCTCAGCTGTAGGGGCTGTGCAGAGCTTAAAGGCAGTTTCCTTTGTCCTGTGAATTGAAGGGGAATGTTAAGGGGACGCTGGCCAGTGCTGCCTGTCCCCCATTATCAGTGTTGGCATTCACAAAGGTGTGGGCAAAGAATCTGGCTGAGTCGAGGATCAACTGCCTCCCGTTGCAGGTGTTTCTTCATCGCACAGTCCTACGTCCTGGTGAAGAAGTGGAGTGAAGCTCTTGTTCTCTATGAGAGGGTGCTGAAATATGCTGGTCAAGTCCAGTCAGAAGCTGGAGCTTATAAGAACAGCTTGAAGGTAGGAACTCAGCGCATCGTGTAGAGCTGCAGTCAGTGAAGAAACTCTTGAGCCAGTATTGGCAGTTAGATACCAAGCCATTGTGATTCAAGTTGGATATTTGAGTAGCAAGAAGAGTAAAACCAGTGTGACTTCTTGATATTTTTATATTACAGACTTCTTTAATGATTTGCAAATGCTACAACTGGCCACTTGCTTTGCAGGAGAGGCAGACTTGCTGTAACAACGCTCGAATACTTTTCCATGTTTTTCACATCTGTATTTTCTGTCATGCTGTTTCTGTGGTGCCTGAAGGACTAAAGAATAGATTCTCCTCTGTGGGAAGGCTTGCTGGCACTTAATCCTTACCCTGTCAGATTTTAACTTTGCGCTAACTCTTTAAAAATCTAGCACCTTTTAAGTTCTCAAATAATTGCTTTTAATACTCTAGGACCTGCCTGATGTTCAAGATCTGATCACTCAAGTCAATGCAGAGAAATATTCCTTGCAAGCAGCAGCTATATTAGGTGAGTTGCACAATCGTACAAGAGGTCTAACCTCTTGCATAACATCCCTCCAGCTATTTCATTTTTTTCATTTCATTTCTGAAATACTAAATATTTTTTCCACATTACTTTGATATATGTAGGCTGTAGAAAACACAGTCTTTGCCTTTTCTAGCTGTGTGTAGTGCAGATGGGAAACCATTGACTAGGCACTTTGATCTCATTCTGTGGTCTCTAAGCATGTGGAGGACAAGAAGGTGTTTGGGAGTAGTCAGCAGGGATTCACCACAGGGAAGTCATGCTTAACCAACCTGAGAGCCTTCTGTGATGGAATGACCAGCTGGGTAGATGAGGGGAGAGCGGTGGGTGTCATCTGTCTGGACCTCAGCAGGACTTTTGACACCGTCCCTCACAACATCCTCCTGGGCAAGCTCCTCAGTGTGGGATAGACGAGTGCACAGTGAGGTGGATTAGGAACTGGTTGGATGGCAGAGCTCAGAGGGTGGTGATCAGCAGCGCAGAGTCTGGTTGGAGGCCTGTAGCTAGTGGTGTCCCCCAAGGGTCAGTCCTGTTCAATTTATTCATCAATGACCTGGATGAAGGCACGGGGTGCTCCCTCAGCAAGTTTGCTGATGATACCAAACTGGGAGGAGTAGCTGATACCCCAGAGGGCTGT